TATTTGTCTCCTTGTTCTCGTACGTCAACACCACTGCACTACTTGCTATGCCCCACAGGTATGATCGGTATGATCTAGTGAATTTTTCGTCACTTTCGTATTCCCGCTGTTTTTGGTTGATGGTGTGTGACGTCAGCTCTGTAAAGCAGCGGGAGAGTAATAGACACGACAAATTCACAAGGCCTCCAACCTGATTACATCTTATTGAGTACGGTTAAACGACGAGGATGACAGTGCGTACTTCGCACTTTTATTTGGAAATAAAAAATAATACTACCAAGAAAGCTTGACTTGTTTTTCAAACTAAATTGTTTGTTGCTATGGTTGGAACATTAATTGCGTAAATATTAATTGAATTTAATGAATGTTTCCTTGTGACATGACAAGATGAACGTGAACTATTTCCTGGTTCATGCTCATTGAATCCAAATACGAAAGGGTGTGGAAAGATTGCGTGAAATCTCGCGCCCCTTTTCAAAAAGACCAATGAAACATATCCATAATTTTGAGAAAATTGAAGTTCGACAAATTATTATTTTAACTGTTTAGAAACAATATATTTTGCAACACTATTTTTAATGTAGTCAGTGAATAATAACGTTGAAATTTAAGTAGAAACGGGAAAATCACAATTTTACTATGAATTGCATGCTACAACACAGATTTTTTTTTTAAACTTTATTAGAGAGATTTTTAGCCGTTGGCTAGTTCATCTCTAAAACAATACAGAAAAAAGGTAGCTACTCTACTCTGAAATCTGTGAAAGGAAATCTAGCATCATGTAGAACAAAACGTCCAATGTAACACCCATTGAGTATGTCATTGAGAAAAATCGTCCAATGTAACGTGTCCAAAGTACAACTTGACTAGTCCAAACATCCTGTGTGTGCGTTTTTTTTTTCTGTACGGTACAGAAAAAACATACAGGATGTTTTGACTAGTCAAGTTTTACATTGGTCACGTTACATTGGACGATTTTTCTCAATGACATACTCAATGAGTGTTACATTGGACGTTTTGTTCTACATGATGCTAGATTCCCTTTCACAGATTTCAGAGTAGAGTACCTAACATTAGATTGCCCTCGCTTTTAGAAAATGAGCACCAATCATGTTAGGCAGTCCGAATTGCCGACATAACAATCATGTACCCATCATTTCAAACTGTACATTGGACAATTTTATACCTATGATTTTCTTAAATAAATGAAAGTAAATTTGGATGGATGTTTTTGTTCACATCTAATGATAGAAGAGCAATAGTTTGTATCACTTAACTCGATTTGTTTACATTTGTTACTTAGGACCATTTGAAAAGTGACGCAATGTATATAAAATGCATAGAATGTGGAAGCAGAAATCATTAGCGCCATTGTCTTTCATTAATTGGAAATCGTAGGAAGATGCATAATGAATTCCGTGATGAATCAGTTCTCGCTGCGTCAGCAAAATGAATTTGATTTTTTGCAACTCTGGTAATTACAGCTGATCTGGCAACAACAGAGTAGCAACCGTAAGCGGTCAATCATGCTTATACTCATGAAGTCACTGAAATTTCCTCCATACTAGCGTTAGCGTTAGCGTTGTTATGATATACTTCGTAGATTGGATACTAGCGACACTCACGTCTCTTCTGAAATTCTCAGTTAGACTACTTTCAGGAATAATGCTGGGGAGTAAACATTGGTTCCAATCTAAACAAGAGTAACAGAAGCATGACTGCCGCTATTCCCGGCCACGCCCATCTTTACCATAACTAGGGATAGAGAAGGAAATGTTGATGTAGTACTTACTTAACGAGAGGCCACCGACTTAGCGACACCCTCATAAGTGCTACGGAGTTGGAGGGTTGGGTAGGGTATTCGGTTAGGATTCACCTCAAGTTGGCGATGCAACCAAAAGTATGTGTTGTTTATTTGTTGTTTATTTAATCTCTCGATAGCCGGCTATCGAAAGAACATATTCATTTTGTTTAGTGATCATGAATTTTAAGAGTCATGACGGAGAGCTTGGGATTAAACCCATGATTTTCTGCTCAGTAAGCAAAAACGATCCCTCCAGGGTCATCGAGCATCTCAGAACCATAACGCTTCTCGACAATACAGGACTACGTTTTCGCTTGATATGCAAATAGTTTCCGAGGCTAATGTTTAATATCAAATATACAAATGATGGTGGCGATTTATTGTGCTGTGGAAGAGCTTGGAGTTAAGTCCATGATTTTCTGCTCAGTAAGCAAAATCGATCCCTCCAGGGTCATCAAGCATCTCATAATCCACAGCGCTTCGCGTCAAAGTACGAATATATGGATGAACTATCTATTATTGAATAACTATTATTTACGATAATTACACGAAAGAAATAAAACATAAACTACAAACAAAACGTGACAACTAAAATCTCAAAAAGATATTCTCACAAATATATTTCACGCAACTAGGAATCTCAAAACAATTAGACGCTATAATGATACTCTGCACTTGTTAGACACAAGAAGAGGCCAAAAAGCAAGCGTCCGACACACAAAACCCGCCAGATCCACTTGCAGTCACAATCAACGATTCTACGAATCGCGAGCGCTCACGAATCATAAAACCGCTGACTGCGACACTCTGAAAGCGAAAATGACAGGCTCCATTACAACATCTAACGAATTCAAAACCCCGAAAATCACTCATGTATAGCTAGTGAGTGGAAGCAACCTTGTATGCAACCATTCGTCATGATACACTTTTTCTGTCTATCTTTCTATTAGGCCTGTGGACATGCGTTAGCTTCGAAACTTCTAACCAAATTGGGAAATTTTCAAATCAGAAAAAAAAACTTGAAAAAAAAACTTTTAAAGGTAATTAAAAGTAAAATAAATATTGATTATTTTACGCAAAAACGAGCAAGTAATATTAAATCTCTTGTATCGTATGCTAATGCTAATTGACTGTAACAAAAATAATATGCTTAAATAAAATAAAATATTAATAAAATTATATGCAAAATTAACTAGAAGATCATTACTTTATTGGTGAGAAGTTTCTAATAAGCCCTCCCAGTTCCTCTGTATACAGAACAAATCTGATACTATAATCAGAATTGCTCAGTCTGCATGAAGCAGCCGATTTCATCAAGGAAGTTCTATTAACAACCAAGAATTAATCGTTTGAGGCATGCTGAAGCATTAAGAAGGTGATATGTGTCACTATAGGAAATCATCATCGTTGCAAATATAAAGAAATTAAACATAACCCTTTGCTTCAGTACCGTCAACCTCCATGTCCATGGGGAGGGTAAGTCACTGAAATTTCCTCCATACTCCACAAAAACACAGATTACACACATTTTGTATGCCTCCACAAGCATTGGCATTGCCCACTGTTTCTTGACTTAAACTTATAGCGGCGCCAGTGATGTAGTTTTAAGCGTGCTTGGCCAATGCTCATACTCATACTCATAAAGTCACTGAAATTTTAAGAAGGTCAATAAAGGTCAGAAAAATTGCTGAACTTCAATGAACTTTTATAATTTTTTATAAAATTCTACAAAGTATGATGTAGTTTTATAAAGCTTGCTAGCTCCTATATAATTTGTAACAATCACCGACATCTACGCAGTCCCTGAAGTTTTAAGAAGTTTTCTAAAATTCTATTAAGTTTTGGAAGGGTATGAAGTTCCATGATATTCTAAAACATTTCGTACATTTTTGTTAGTAGTTCCCTACTTTTTTGGGAGTTTCCTACAATCAAATGACGTTCTCTTAAGTATTACCTTTTACGAAATACCATTGACCGGTAAGAAGTTCCTTGTAAGACTCAATTTTATAATAAAATAGAGCAAATTTTGAAAGTAGATGTGTGACATATGAGGACATTTAGTACCGATCGTTTAGGTCTTGTTAGCTAGGGCTATGGCCCCCTCCAGCCCAACATCCTTTTTACGCCCAAGTCCTCGTGATTTTCAGAAACTGGGGGAGGAGGTGGTGGCAAAAGTTAAAATTATGTTTTGTTCCGGCCTTATAAGCTCTGCTTTTTTGTCAATCTGTACCAGCTGATTTGTGGACTTTTTGGAAGCAACTACTAACTATCCTCGTAAATCAACAAAAATGCTGAAAAGTCATCATGTTTTCTAGATCCTCCGATTCTAAAAACCAATTTTCTTATCACTGATTCCCTTACAATTGGAAATGAGATTCCACAAAATCCAATTATTTCAGTTTTCTTTGACTATATCAGCATTAATTGTGAGTCAATCTTGTATCAAATGAGCTCGGAAAAGTACACGATCTATAAATTAAGTAATAATTTACAGACACTGTTGTCCCGTCCACTTCCTACAAGAAATGGCTTTTTTTTATCATACCTGTTTATATCTCTTCGTACCTCCTAGGGGTGATTCAAATATGACGTCCACTCTTGAAGGGGGAGGGGGTCCTAGAATTTGTGATAGTACGTGTAATAAGTATGGGAAAATGCTTGACACAAGGGGGGGAGGGTGTACGTCATATTTGAGTCACCCCCTACGCCTGAGTGGAAAGTCACACAGTCAACGATGATAACATAAATGATGACGGCTACCACCACAAGCGGCATTCCATGGACGGTAGAAAATAAGCAAGAAAAAACTGTTGTTGAAAAAGAATTCGCAAATTTAGTTCTACCTTAATTGTGTCACATTGGTGGTGGTGGTGGTGCTGCTGGTGGTGATGGAGAGACGATCAGTGCGTCCCAAAACTTGCATGGGAGGGACAGTTCTTCTCAAGAAACTTGAAATTTATCGTTTGGGAAAAGTTTTCAGGAAGCATAACTCTCCACTATCTCTCTGCACTGGAAAATATAAAATGCCGACCACAGTGGTGGCTGCGATTGAGTAGGATCAGGAAAAGTTTTTTGAAGACGGTTGACCAGTGTTGCCAAACGACTATGCTCCTTTGCACAGATTTAGCTGATCTAATTTGACGAAAAGTTTAATCTCAACTCAACGTAAGTTTCTTTTTTCAATTTCTTTCCACAGTATGCGCCGGAAATCCTGATGCAAAACGCCTCTACGATGACCTTCTTAGCAACTACAACAAACTAGTTCGGCCTGTTGTTAACGTTACAGACGCACTAACCGTGAAAATCAAACTAAAACTATCGCAGCTTATTGATGTGGTAAGTTCTACTTTTCGACAATTTCGTTTCATTATTTATCTTGATCTCAACTATGCATGCCTTACTTTCTTTACAATGCGACCTAATTTAATTACCATAAATATATGTAATTAAATCAATTCGCTTCAATAATTTCCCTCCACAGAATCTGAAAAATCAAATCATGACTACGAATCTATGGGTAGAGCAAACGTGGTACGACTACAAGCTCAAGTGGGAGCCGAAAGAGTACGGTGGAGTGGAAATGTTGCACGTTCCTTCGGATCACATTTGGCGGCCGGATATTGTGCTATACAATAACGCGGACGGTAACTTTGAGGTGACGCTGGCGACGAAAGCCACCCTCAATTACACCGGACGAGTCGATTGGCGGCCACCGGCCATTTACAAAAGTTCCTGCGAGATTGATGTGGAGTATTTTCCCTTCGACGAGCAAACGTGTGTGATGAAGTTTGGCAGCTGGACGTACGATGGGTTTCAGGTGAGTTCAGTTAACAATCATTTGCTTTTTACAATATAAATTGGGAGCAAATATACCGTCGGTTCAACCAATTATTTAACGTCCTGTTATATATTTATAAACCAATAGGAATGACACTGATGAACACTGCACATTGTAGTCGAAATACTTATCTGGCATAGATATCAAAATTAGTTAAGTGGAATTAAATGGAAGACAAGATTTTTTGCTGTTTTACAATAGCCACCATTTGCCATCCTACAATTTATTCAAATTCAAAAATGTGCCATCTTGGATCAAAAATTTACAATATATCCGAAGATACAAATAATAGCAGATGACAAAAATGTGTATTTTAACCAGATAAACAACTAATTAGAACATGACAAACACGTAAAAATTACATGGAAAAAGTAATAGTTAGATTCTTAGGTACCGTCCGTAAAAAACGCTCCAAAGCTTTATTGTGAAAGAGGATTAGTGTCTTCAGAAAAAAAAAAAGTTTGTGTTGTCATTTACTGCAATTTTGATCAACACACCAACCCTCTATCTCAAGTTTTCAAAAAACTTTGTTGTGAGTCTAACTTACAGAGTGGTAACGTCAAAAGATAGGGCTTTATTTGCCTAGAAACTTCTCCAAAGACACTACATACCTAAAATGAAAGGTTTTGGAGTAATTCCATGCGATTACGTTTTTTTCCGTTTGGACCACTATGCAGTGCGACTGACGATCTTTCAAACCAGGAGTCATAAAGCTACGAAAATCCACCAAGGACTTCATTCAATTCTACTTTTTCGCGATGTTCATTGTTTCGAAACTTGTAAAGCCTCTAAAGTATCTTTCTTGATTTTTTTCTGATTTGCTGAAACAAGGATTTGGTCACAATTTGAGATTATGCGAACAAAAATAAAAACTACTCGATCAATCGATACTTCATTTTTCTCAGTTATTATGTTTCGTCATGAATGAATGACGTATGCCTAAATTCTTCAAATCTACCCAACTGCACCAATTGAATAAAAGATCACGTGCACTTGAGGATATTACGCCGGCTTAATTCATATTGATTCTTCCTGCAGAACTAAAAGTTCAATGTGAAGATCTTGATTGCATCAAATCCCATTATACACCATGAAAGTCAGTGAAATCATTCAAAATGAAAGGCTGCCAAGGTTTCTACGATGCTCAATTCTTCGGTGCACACATCAATAATATTACTTTTTTGACCAATCCTAGGTAACCATGACAGTTAGGTGGCGGGCATTTTTTTGTTCATTGTCCGCTTTATGAAAGTAGACTTTGTGTGAAAGGTTATGGTGTAAACGAATTTTTTGGTTTCAATTTGATTTGAATGAGTTTAATTCAGAGTTGGTTGGAAATACTATCTAACATGAAGCTTTAGTGTGATAATTTATTAGCCAGAGAATGATCTTAGAAGAAGGTAGGTATATAGTTCCGTTTGAGTACGGTATTATGAAAATTGAATAGAAGTTGAAAATGAGCGAAGGGCCATTAATGCGACAGTACAAATTTTAATATTATTAATATAAAATAAAGGCAACAGTGGTTTATACACCAAAAATCTATAAGGTGCTGATAGAATGTCTTGTAAATGTGATTCATTCCATCATCCCAATTCCCGTGTGTTTTTTTGAAACGGTTTTGCCAGTATCAAAATAGTAATAACTGTACATATTTGTCCATAATTTAAATTGTCTTTTAAGTTAAGAACATTTGCTCCACCTCATTAATCTGGTTGGAAATAGTACCGCTATTTCACTAATTACACAGCGAAAGATTATATCAAGCTGAGGTTACAATATGTACTGCATATCGTGTAGGTATCCATTCATGGCTCACCCAACTAGTAATTTTAGTTGCAGAACGGCTTAAACAAAATAAAAAGGGGGTTTGCAATCGATTTTTGCCCTTATAAACTATTCTGTAGCTTAAATGCAGTCCAGAATTGTTTGATGGGCAGTAATAAAATTTATAATTTGTATCTTAATACAGAAGAAACAAATGAACAAATTCGATCGGATTCATGTCGACGTTGTCCATTTGTCAAGTTGGTACTCCCTACACAGTTTCAGTTTTGACTGATCCTGGTGAATTCTATCTAAATTTGTGTAGTTTTGAAATAGCGTGTAGAGTTCTACCGCAGCTGTCAAAGTTCTTCCGCCAGTGTAAAAATGACCTGAATACTGAAAAAAAGTAGAAGGGTCTATGCCTAGGGGCACGACCGAAAGCTTGACGTAGGACCGCTAGTGGACGGAACAAATATAAGAGCATTTAGTTCTTTTAATTGATCGATCATCTATTATCTTAACGTTTTCCTTTTTTGAATTGTAGGCATACCAAATTTGTAGTATTTTTTTAAAGAGAAAGTTGATAAAGAGACTCTATCGAAATATCTTGCACCTGCTTCCAAGTTTAGTTACAAGATTACAACTCTGGAGAGCATTTTGTGTGGTCGTTGGGTATATGTGGTTCTGAATATGTACAAACAGACACAGATAAATTCCCTGACAAGGACCGTTTTGTTTCCAAAGTTGGTGAAGATTTACCTCCGAAACCGTACATAGTGCATCTCTGTCGCTTCAAAGCATAGATGACATCCATGGTTGCTTACGCTTGGCGTGTTCAGTGTAGGCGACAGCATCACGGATTTCATTTTCCAGGAACACCTTCAGCGCACCTCGTAGATCAGACCGGAGATACGTTTGACACCGCCACGGCGAACCAGACGACGGATGTCAGTTATAACGAAGAACCTTGCGATGACTCTTGGCGCCTTATTTTCCAAGACCTTTTCCTCCTTTGCCAGTCATTTTTGCTTGTTAGGTAGAAGAGTGGACTACCTAACCTGCCACCACCTTCCTACTGATGCAATTGCTGCTCCTGCTGCCTGCTTACCACGCGGCCCGAAGCAAAAATGAGTTGAGGCTAGACAACAGTGCTCTTTTATATCTTTTCAGGTTAAGGTGATACGGCACGTCATGCAGCAATGGTTGTCCCCACAATCATTAAGTTTCATTGTTTTTTTTCAATCATCATCAAAAATTCAAAAGCGTTTTTTTCGTTCAAATTCACAATTCTTCCAACAAAAATGTCATCACTGCATTCTAATGGCCTACCGGAACACAGTGATGACATTTTGGTAGAATTTTGAATTTGAACGAAAAATCTGCTTTTGATGATTGAAAATTCAATGATGGTTTGTTGAATCTTAAATAAACGCGTTTTGGTATGCTTACGAAAGATATCTTCCTACAAAATAGTAAATTACTAATTAAATACCTTAAAAAATGGGCTAAAATTGTTTGAATAAGATCTGGATACATATTTGAAGACTTTCCCACCAAAATGTTGACAATTCATTTATTCATTCGCAATATTTGCAAGTACGATCAGTAGATTTTGTTCTGCTCTTGGCATGTAATTTAAATAACTGTTTTCACTAGCTTTCATTTCTCAGAACCACACTAAGAACAATTACGACACATGCTTCTGCAAGAACTTTCAGTTTATTTACTTTTAAAGACAATATTTACTTAAATATCTTAAATAATAATATTATTTGCATCGTTAAAAATGCGAGCCGCGAAAAATTTTGTAAGCTAAAATTGTTATGTTTACTATTTTTCTACACACCACATTACGAAGGTGTGTGTACGAATCCTCTATCATTGTATCCAGTGTTGTCAATTCAATTGAAACAAAGTGTTCAAAAACAATGTTTTTATTGCTTTTGAAGGTGTCGAAACTGTGTTCAATTTAGAAACCATCACTAATAAAAATTAAAAAAATTTCTTAACTTGTTTTTCCAGAACAGAAATGGCTGTAAATAAATCTAAAAATCTTCTAAAGAAAACATATTTGTCATTGTGGTTGCACTGGTCGAAGCCATCAGCTGATATTATAAGGCGGGAAAATAATGATACAAAAACAAAAACATACACGATAACAAAAAAGTATCAAGCGGCCAGTTCACATTTACCTACTTTTGACTTTGAGTATAATCACGATCATTTTCACCTACTGACTTACTTTTGGGTAGAAAGCGAATTTTCAATTCCATGCGATTTGAACACAAGTAAATGAAATCTACTTTGACTCACTTTACCTACTTTTGACTTCCTGCAATAAAATGGCGATATGTGTGAAAATAACTTACTTTCGGTTACTTTTTCTTACCATGTACCGGGAGGTTTGAGTGCTGGAATCATTTTTGGACCGGTCGTGTGTAACCAAAGTGTACAAAGTGTAGCTTTGAATTAATCAGCTACTATGAATACTTGACTTGGTTGGACTTGGTGGCTAGGCGTCTGTTATTTTTCTGTGTATAAAGGGATGTCCTTGGGAGGTGGTGGATCGTTAATTTTGGCAAATTGAATAGAAATGTAGTAATGGTTTCAATATTGGATGATAAATAGATAATCTTTAAAAAAAAAGATGATGGATGTCTTTCTTCTTTCTTCTTTTTTTTATTATAGTCACTTTAACACTCTTGGGTCATTCGTGACTTGTCCGTGGGTGGGATTTGAACTCGTGACTTTAGCGTGAGAGGTATGGATGTTAACCACTACGCCGGGGTCGCCCCCTGAGATGATGGATGTTGAAATTTACAGTAAGATATGTATCACTTTTTCTTTAACTTTCTATTTGTTTTATTAACTGTTACACATTCGACCTATTAATAACGAACTTTAGCAGCTATGTTTACGGTAGTTGCGACAGTGCATGATGTACACTCACACCCCTACAGCATCAATGATAATCATTTCACTGACACATAGAAACGAGAGAAAAAAGCAAAAAAGCGTGACGCATCGTATCACCTTAAAGCAGAATGATGTGCAACCATTATTATGACGACTGGGTTTGGGAAGAACGTTTATTTCATGAAAACAATGATACAATAATCACTTTTTATTTGTACATTAGACAATGCTGGACATTACCCGGGACGGGACTTGACAATCGAGCTTCTCACTCTTCTTAATGTTTTTGAAGAATA